GCTGGCATTCAACAACCCTCTGTGAAATATTGTTATAACATACTTCCTTGTATGAACCATTGCAAACTAAGTTAGGCTATGTATTATTAGATAACTATATAATATAAAAATGTTAACAATCATAAATGAAAGACTTGTGTGAAATAGCAGGTTTGTTTGTTTGTTTAAAGCTTTTATAGACCATCCCATTACTAGTGGCTTGGGATGGTTTACAACAATTTAAATTTAATGTCAACTTGAATGAATGGTATAACAAATTTTTAAAGAATATCCAAAGTTTGTCTTCAAGGTATCATCACTGAAGGAAACAAGTACATTTATTTTACCATAAATTTGCACAGACCAGAGTCCACTTCAAAGCATGTACTGTTACCTTCAGTTGGCAAGTGTATACACACATATATACGGTGATGGCAAGGGAACACAGACAACGAAATGCAAAAGTACAGCCTGAATTTTGAATTATTGAATTTCCACAGGATGTATTTGCATTTCATTGCCACAGTTCACAAAGTCATCCTCTAAACCCATGAGGATGCACACACAGAGTTATGGAATAGAATGCACATGTTTACAACCACTGCCATTGGTTTATCTTTAGAAAATTCAAAAATGACATTTGGGTAAAGATCAAGTCTTGAAGCAATTCAATATCCACATCTACACAAGCATGTACAAAAGCTTTTGTGTATATTTACAGGAGCAGATCCATCCTTTGCAAAGTCTGCCCCTAACATACTCTCTCATTGCCTTAATGGCAGGAAGGAGCTGTTCTTAGGTTGAAGACAGGATTCACTCTTCTGAGGAAGACTGAAGGTTAAAGGCAAAGATCACTTATATTTCCAGCGACATCATTTACTGTTTTCAGAGTACAATATACAAGAATGGTACACACCTCTAAACTGGGACTCTTCCTAGAAAAATACAAGCTAGCAGGCCAGTGTTTTAGTTTCTTCTGCTATCATGCATACTTATAACACATTATTTTTAATATAAGAACAAACATGTGCATACTTCATGAATGGCTATATTCAGGATCCAAATATAAAATGATTTCCAGAACAATCATGGAAGTTAATATTTTCAGTTCCTCATTATCCTTTTAACTGCACACTGTACTGAAGCATCAAAATTACAGCAGAACTTTGGGAGACTAAATCTTAACTTTAAAAAATCTAAACAGAATTGCCTCTCTATTTTAAAACTTAGTTCTCTTTTAGCCCAGGATCATTTATATTTCAAGTTTATCTTCTTACACATATGCCCCAAATATTACACATTAACAGTTTTTAAACAAAAAGTACCACCCTGACGTTTAGCAAGCTGTACCTCTCTTTTTTGCTTCTGCCACCATTTCATCATATTCTTGTCTGTGACGTAAAGCCTCTTCTACAGATTTGGCAGGAAGGTTCCTAAAAATTTAAGTTAAGTTAATTTGTTGCAGCCACCCCTACATTTAAGAGTACTTCTTGTTTTATTTCCCCTGCAAAAAAAGGTTTCTACCTTGCTTTTTCCCCAACAGGATCTTCCCTTTTGTATCCTGGAGTGTACCATAACTTAATTAAAAAAGGAAGAATTTATGCTTAATGTTTCAGGAAACAGACAAATCACAAAAAGGAATAGGTGCTGGTCATGACCTATGAGGTCCTATATGGTTTGGGGCAAGGATACCTGAACTAATATAGTTTTGTAAGTATAATACTTATGGCTTTCCCCTAAATAATTTTAACAACTCTAATTTGATGAGAATTATTCATTAAAGGGTTGGGGAAATACCATTAAAATAGTTAAAGTCTGTTAGGTATCATGCAAAAAACCAAGAACAAACAGTTAGACCACTAATATTATTGATCTACCACCTTCTACAAAGCAAAATCGTATTTGTTTCACTGTTCAGTCATATACTCACATTTGAGGTCTATGCCTTATATACAACTTCTTTAGTACTTAAAGAAAGGGTAGCTTGGTGTAAGTAGTTCTCAAAGGCTGCCTTTCCCAACCTGCTGCCCTCCAGTTGGAACCATGAAGAATGATGATAATGGGAGCTGGCAAGTAACTGGCTGGGAAAGCTAGCTTTAAGGCTACTGGAGTAATAGCACTATATTTGAAACTCTATATAACACTGGATCCTGTCATACAGATGTTTGTCTGATTGCAGCTGCTACTTGCTCAGGAAAGAAAAAGCTGCACATCTTTGTGCTGTGTCTACATAATCCTTGGAAAGTGTGGTTTCCAGTATTAACACAGCAACAGCAAGTTGTAGGGATTGCTGTTGTCTACATCTGAATTAAAGAATTATAGAAGATCTAGTATGGCTAGAAATTACCTCCTGTAATTGCTAGACTATGTCATATCCAGCGGCCTAGCTCCCCTGTACCTCTCATCCCTATACTGACCCTAAACCAAATTACATCCATATTAAGCTCTATGCAATTGAGGTGATTGAAGATGCCACAGAGGTGGGCTATGCTGCAGGAAAAAAGAGATACACACAAAAATTGGGCAGAAGTGCTTTCCACAAGTGAAGTACCTTCCATCTGCTAAGTTAAGAATAATTTACTTGGGATCTAGCCAACATGGGAATGTATTTCAGAATATTAGCTTATTTTTGGACAAGAAATTCATACCCTGCTTGAAAAAGAATCCATAATGACTTACGATGGTCGATCCTCCAGAATGAGAGCAGTAGTTGAAAGTGGCTCAAATTCAAAGTATCTACGTCTTGTGGCTTGGGGTGCAGGTTTACACACCTTTCCTGTTCGTGCTTCATACTCCTAAACAAAAATCACATTTTATGTTTTTAGTAAATTAGTAGCTGCAACAAATTGCACAGCTCAAGCTTCTATCAGCACAGCTACATGGTGAATTGCTTAGGTTAAGTCAACCTCAGTTTCAAAGAAACACTGCTAGAAACCACGCAGTGCCAGTTTTTGAGATTCAGGTGTGAGAAATATTGCATCTGTTATCTTTGTGTGCATGTACCATACCTATACAGCAATGACTAACTCAAATAGATTTGTGCCTGGTTTGGATGTCATGATAAACTATAGTTTATTGTTACTTGGGGAGTCTCAGGCTCACATTCTCTACCTTTCCTCTGGCCCAGTCACAAAGAGAACTTTTAATTTAGATCAACAGCAGTGAAACATTGTATCCAAATTCAAGGTTAATCTTAACTATGGTTAGTTGAAACAAAACAATTCCATAAACTATGGTCTGAGTTCACTTGTTAAAAACCACAAATAATCATAGTTAAAAATAACTGCAATTGGTCTAAGTTTGGACATAAAATCTTATGACAGCTTAAAATGGAAACCAGTGCTTCTAAATGTCTATCTGGCCATTGAAGTTCATTGCCATAACAACTAATCATAGTTTATCATTATGTCTGAATGAGGCCACTCATCTCAGTAGGATCTCAGTAGACAGGGATATTGTAATATATAAGTATGCCAGTGTCTAATTCTGTTACAAAAATTCAAAAATGTCTGGTCAACTTGGGTGTGATGCAGTAGGCAGGGATTATATACTGAAAAGAAGCTAAGTGTTTTTACCCACATACACACACGCACCACTGCTAAATGTTTAAAACTAGGCTAATACTTGCTCTAAAGCAAAACCACACTTTGGAAGAGTTGTCTCAAAAGAATTACATTCCAGTAATTCTATACTATTTGTTCAATTAATCTTTAGTATAAGGATATCAGGGCACATTACTGTTGTCTAATACACTTTTTTTTTCAAAGATACCTCAAATGCACCAGTAAATTCTATAAGTGTATCCTATTTCAAACTGCAAAAAAAAAAAATGGATTATTTTGTAACTGAAAATGTTTGCCTTTTTAAGGACTTATTTGCTGCTACTGTAAGAATTAAAATCAGAGGCACCCAGAAGTAAAAATTCTCATGAATAGTGGTTCTACTCCTTTTAAAAATATTGATAAAGCTCACTTTACACTAAAATGTAAAGCCCAAAGGCATGCTAGCAGGGTCCCCCCCCACCAGAATTTCTGCCCAAGTACCACTACCGTGTAAGATTATCAGAGCATGAATATCCCATAACATAATTAGATGTTTCAATTAATTAATTAAAAATTAAATGTCACTTTTTGAAAGGGACCCAGCTTTGCTAAGCATTATTCTGGATGTAATTTGTGGTCTAGCATTCAAGGAATTAGAAACAAGGTCTGTGGCTGGTTTTTTATCAATTAGAGAATGCTGCAGAACAGGACCAGGACCAGGACCAGGACCAGGGCAAAACAAGACCACAGTTTATTACATCCATTCATGGGGCGTCATCATGGCATGAAATCATCCATTATTATTTGACAAAATTAGCAGGAACAGTGATTCCCTGCCTTGCGTAATGCAAGTAATATTGGGACTACATCAATTATTTTGCCTCAAGCTACAACAGTATTATTACCTCAGAGAAGGCTCCTTGGACACTTATAGCATAAAGGAATAGGCCCACACTATGAACCATCTCTAAAATGTTATCATTACCATCAAATCCATATATTTATCCTAGGTTAATTCTATTTATGGCAATCACACTGATGATTTTTCAGTTAAGACTAATATTCAGAAACATGATTTATATATTTTAGATTTACAAAATATTCAAACCTCAGTTTAATAACTCACTAGGATCAGTGAAATTTATATCTATTAAATGTGTTTGGATGGAAATCTACATACTTATTATACAAACTCTCACATCTCAAATCTATATTCATAATTTCAGTACATTGTTAGCAGTACCAAGTATTACAAAGGAAACACTGAAATTTATAACACATTTTACAAGATCTTTAGAGGAGTATCAGTCCTCCTGGTCATGGGAAAATGCCCTGGACATTTTTCAAAGGATAAATTAATCAGATAGGAAAACCCATTCAGAGAATGCTAATAATCAATACATTTTTATTCAAGCTGTGCAAGAAGGTGTGAAAGATAAAATATCATCATAAAATATATGCTAGCAAATATATCAGGTTGTCAAAATTTTTAGCTGCACTCAAAGCTATATATACTACATGTTGCTGGAAAAAAATAAGCTATTTGCCAATGCAATTCAAGTTCTCCACCCTGCGGAAATTCCATTTGCTTATTCTGCTTAAATCTATCTGCTAACCTTAAATAGTTGCAAAGAGAGCTATGGTGCAATAAAATCCTAACCCTGTCACCATTAAAAGTCCTGCCCAGCCCCACCTGGGAACTTACATTTGATCAGACACTGTCTATATTATTTTCAAGTTTGTCTTCATAACCACAAATACTAAAAGATAGTATTTGTGGTTATGAAATTTAAAAAACAATGAAAAATGATGAAAATAATGAAATTATAAGACTACCATATTCTGTAACTGATACCAAATTATGCTTGCTCTATGCAATCACTGACAACACAATAGAAATGTCTCTTTCATACTGATTTGAGGAAGGCTAGCTGTAGTACTATCTAGATAGCAATTTCTTGACAATAGCTACTGTCTTCAAAATAGGAAAGCAACTGAGAACACCATTCTGGACATTGTTTTCTTGTGTCAGTAGTAGAATGCAAAAAGAGCAAGGAAGGAATGCAGAAGATTGAAAACTAAACCTTTGTAGTACATAGGGTAAGTGAAAATAACCTAGTTTGAATCCTTTGTAATTGAGGAGTGGTGCATATTTTAGACAACTGCTGTGTTCCCATGTATGTCAGAAATCAGCAAGCCTAGTGCAGCGTGGCACATTTGGTTACTGTAAAACCCCACAGAGAACCCATGCTTCCCCATTGTTTGCTATTATGGGTGAATTCAATTACAATGTTTTCTCTTGGTTTCCCAATTTCTGCCAGAGAGTTTGGCATAAAAGCAACTGTGGCTGCAGCAAATATTCCAGCTGCCAGTTTTTCCACTGCCCTGTTCTCCTTAGCAACTACTGCACTGCTAGCAGCAGAGAGCTGATTGGCTGTCTGTGTTCTTTCCTGATGGTGCATGATCTCTGATGCCTCACCACTGCGACGGCCTGCCTTGCTCCACCACAATGCCCCACCTTACTGTGATGCCACACCATGGCCCACCACCTTGATGCAGTACCCTAACTCACGGCTTTGCCACAATGCCCTGCCGTGGCTGGCTACCACACCCTGTAATGCCCCACTTTGTTGCCTCCCATTCTGCCTCCCACCCTCTGCCCCAATATCACCCTGTGTCGTGCCTGGCGGCTCGACAGAGACGTTGACATGCGAGGAAGGGGCAGAAGCTCACAGTGAGAGTCAGGCGTTACAACAAGGAGATTTGTATTTGGTGCCCAGTGTCCAAACGGCCCCCCTGCAACCTGTCTCTGAGGCCTCCTCGCGAGTAGCTTCCCCGCATCCTGGCTCAGAGTTGTTGGAGCAGGGTGCAGCTTCCCTTCCTGAAGACTCCGAGGTGTTTGAACAAGCTGCCCACCCCCCAGACTCTGAAGCTAGGATGCAAGGAAGCTACTCGCGAGGAGTTGCCCCTTCCTTGTGTGTCAACGTCCCTGTCGAGCTACTAGGCATGACACCCTGTCCCTCATAATGCAGAGAACTTCCACAAAGCTCCACCCCTATATCTTGTCAGCAGGGCAGCAGAGTTTCTCAGGCAGTTGCTCAGATGGGCTCTGTCAGGGAAGTCTGGCCAGCAGGGTGTATTCCCTCCATCCCTGGAACCAGTGCCTGTACTGCTGCTCTCCATGTGCCAGGCTTCCAGGGGGAGGAGGCACTGACGGTGTGTATATATCCTGCACGCAGGGGAAGCAATGGGCACAGGTGCAACACGGGAGAGGGGAAACGTATGGGTGGGCAGGCATGCTTATGCATGGGCATGGAGTGTGGAAGCAGTGGGGAACTGCTGCTCTACTGCTCCTGAAGAACAACCAACCTACTCTAATGAGATGGTGCCACTGTGGAGCAACAGCAGGGGAAAGCAGGAGCAGGCACTTGAGGCCACACAAAGGGGCAGGTGGGGCAGGCAGAAGCAGTGTACCCCGAGATTAATTTTGAGCAACAGGGGCTGATGGGAAAGGTGCCAACATTTGGAAAGAAGTTGGCAGCACATGGAAACTACTCTTGCATAGTTACCACTCCATTGTGTAAACACAGAACAGAAGGTGAGAGTTGTGTGTGAACTGCCCCAATGTAAAATGTTATGTTAATACTATTGCCTTGTGATTTCTCTAAACTTTAATACTAACTAAGGAAATAATGTTCATTAACTTCAGCTCCCTGTGTATCATCATTTCAAGAAATGGATAAACCAAAAGAAAAAAATATGGAAACTACATACCTCCAAACTGAAGGGCACATTGGTTTTCTGGGTTGATGAATGCTGAATCGTATAGCACATTATATGAAGTTTGGGGGGGGGGGGGCAAGCAGATGAATCTCAGTGTTTCTCATGGAGATGTTATTCATACATGGCAAGAAATAGACTACTCCAACTTTCCAGCATTCGTTAGGGCACCTTTTCCAGTGTGGTGCCCTCTTACCATCCCCAGTTTTACTTATTTACTGGAGAACACACCAGTGCAGCAATGGCATAGTCACAGCAAACACAATCAGCCGCTTTGTACAAAGAGCTACTCTAAAATATCTAGTTAAGAAGCCTGAAGATGCACCCTTGAGGCTCCCCAGCTCCAATCAGATCTCCTTGAGAAAGAATTTCAGTTCATTAGAACTTGATCTTCTGATATTTCTATGTAACCTTCCCTCCCCACTGCTTTATGTTGTGTCTGTTTTAGACTGCTGCCTCATTTTTTGAACTCTGTATGCACTTAGCACATAGGTACTTGATAAATGGAAGTACCAGGCTTATTCAACTCCTATAAGATTGAAGCGCAAGGCAGTTAGAGTTTTCCAACTCTGAGTCATGGGCAGTAATAGCATCATTTTGCTAATAAATCTATGTTACTTTCCATAAGTGAATATCCCAAGATTACTGAGGAAAGCCCAGAATGAAGAAAAAGGTCTGTGATCTAAAAAAAATGTTAGCAAGAATGTAGTTAAGGGAAAATCTGGAACAGGCACTATACCATTCCCTACACTATACCATTTGTAACATCCTACACTCAGAAATATGAGCACAAGTAAACTAGGAGATAGGAAATAACACAAGGTTTTGATATGGTATGCTGAATTTGAGTTACCAAAAATGAAGAATATATCACTGTTGCTAAAATAGCAATGAGAAGGACAAATTCTACTTTCCAAACAAATGACAATGGAAGGCCAAGAATTAGCTTCTCGTTTTTATATGTTCAGGAATATGCTGACACATCTAATGTCAGCATAAGATAAGATAAAACTTATCTAATTTTTATAAGAAAAATCTAAAGGAATTAGAAAAAACAGCAGTTGAATTGCTAAGGATATAGTAACATGCTATTGCCTCAAGAAAGGAAAGCTGGGGAATAATCAAAGCTGACATAGCAAAAATCAAACCATCAATATTTCTCACTTTCTCTGAAAATAATGCTACCAGTGTTCAAGTGACATGAGATACAGATTATAGACTCCTGAAACATTACACCTGCATGCCACTGTCACCTCAATAGCAACATGACACTAATAAACCAAAAATTAATTAATTTGCACCCTTGGTTTTTCTACTCTTTTTAGCCAGGGCTATTGTCTTGGAATTGCAAGGGGTTTTGTTGTTGCCTAACCCCTTCTGAAATCAAAAAAATGAAGAAAAAGCCAAGTAAATATATGCACATCAGAAAAACAAGCTCAACATAAAGAAAAATAAAAAGGGAGAAAACAGAAATGACTTTAACAAACTAAGCTCTGGTAAGAAGAAAGAAATGTCAGCAAGTTAACCCAACTTGTACCTACTTCTAGCAAGACATTTGATGAAAATTAGATGCCAGTAAGACTTGAGCCATATGCTATGCGATTCAATTAGCAATATTCTTACTCCAATATACTCTCTATTCAAAGCCACTTCTAGTAACTTAATAGTCAGAAGCGATTTAGGAGACAAAGTCTAAATGATGCATTAGCTGATGTGTCCTGAAAACTAGCTTCTCAAATGCATTCTAATGTGCTGTTCACATGAAACTATTACTATTCATTCCTATTACTATTAATAACGTTCACTATTAATAGGCTGTCATGCAGAAGTATTACTTTTACTCAGGAACCCACAAACTGGCTTCTTTTGTTCAGTGTGATATCTGAACACAGACCAGTAGGCTGTTCAGGTCTAAATAACTCAGTGGTTAATCAAACAACAAATCATGAGTTGCTGATAAAAGCAGGATGCCTGCCCATTCTCTCTCAACTTTGTTTAATATACAGTGGTACCTCGGCTCACGAACGCCTCAGTTCATGACCAAATCAGGTCATGAACAGAAATTTAGGAAAAAATTTTCCTCAGGTTGGGTGATGATTGCGGGGGCACTTGGGGTGGGGGGCAGGCACAGTCATGCTGGGGGGAGATGCCCATGATCACACCCATTTTCCTCGCATGAGCACGATGGCGATTGTGCCTGTCTCCCCCAGAGTGCGCTCACGATCATGCCCGTCTTCCCTGTGATTTAAAAATAAATAAATTACAGAATGGATTAACCTTATTTACATTGAACCTTATGGGGAAATTTGACTTGGCTCACGACCAATCTGGGTCAAGGCCAGAGTTGTGGAACAGATTAAGTTTGTGAGCCAAGGTACCACTGTACCAGTTAATAAACATTGACCTTTGTAAATACAAATGAAGGATGGGTTATACATTTTCTAAGAACAATATTATACTAAGCAGCTCACATCCCTAGTTTAGATATGTGTTTTATAACTTTATTAATTCTTTTCCTATAGAACAACCTACAGCTTATCTGTAAAGTAAGTGTTACTACACTCTGCATTTGAATTCTTAATCTCAGCCTTAGGGCCAAATACAATTTAAGACAGAGACTGGGTTTGGATAATACTACAACCCATTGAAGGTAATTAGCCATAGTAGGTTGCCAGGCCATGGCAACCCAGAACACTTCCACAGGGTGACTTGTTTGGAGGCAACAATTCACCTGCCAACCCACAGCTTGTTCTAGTGATTATTGGACTCACAGAGTCATTTATGGCATTTGAACTAGGTGAACAAGTCATGTAACAAAAGCAGCAAAAACCCCTTGCTTGTACTGAGCTCACCTGGGTCATTACCAATGACAAAGTGCCCATGCAGCACTCTGGAGCAACTGTCAATCATTTATTTTTTTAAAAGTTCCAGAAATGTTCACAAATAGTTTTGTTACATCATCATCATATTGTAGGTAGTTTGGAGCTGCCTAAGTGCAGAACCCCTATCTACCCAAAATACAGAAATGTGTCTGGTAAGTGTGTGTGTAAGCACCTGCTATCAAAGCAGGCACCATCCATGGATATTGACAAAGCCAAGCTTCAGTGACATAACTGCTTTCACATGTCAGCTGTCAAACAGAGAAAACAAAGTTACAACAGCCCTTGCACAATAAAATCCTCTACGTTTTAAGGATGCTCACTATCTTTCACCTTTTCTATCCTTTCCCAAGCCAGGAAAGTGCAGCAAACTACTTATGGGAGCACTTACATTTGACAGCAGTCAAAAGTGAATGTTTTAAAACAAAGAATTAACAAGGCTTATGCAGTATTTTGACAAGGGCATATATAGATTTCATGGCTGCATATATTCCTATAAAAAATGCCATGGAATCCCTTGGGGTATCAGTGGGAGGATTCAGGGGAAAGGAACTGGATAATAACCCATACTGAGCCCAGTCATCTGTTGGGTGCACCTTGGGTTGTTCCATGAACAAGCCATCTTATGTAACTTATTTTCCGAATGGGTTGCCATGTTGTGAGAACTTAGCTATAAAATATACGTTGCCTTAAAGCAGTGGGAAAATATCACACTGGGGGCAAACAATATTTATTTTATATTTTTGCTTTCAGAGATTCTCTTTACAGTAGAACACAGTTGTAGTTACTGCTAAGATAAACTGCAGCGTGATTTTCCTTCACCAGATTACTTGCATTTACCATCTACACTAAAGTGTATCTGATTGTTTACAAAGAAGCCAGAGACGATGACACCACTAAAAATATCTGTTCACTATAACTTTTAATGACTTAGATATTAAGGAAGTACCAATGAATACTAGGTTTCATTTGACCACAACAACACTATTTCATTTGACTACAACAGTAAATCTGAATATATTTTTTAAATGTTAAAAAGTTTCAAACTGAACAAAAGCAATGAGTAAAATTTGCTTTTCAATAATGGTATTCAATGACTTGATGTGTTAGTATTGTTAACTCATGCTACAACTATGTGATGTGCCATCTACTTAATGATTTCTAAGATCCCATGCATGGCATAGAATGTGATAGAAAAATATTAAATTCCATACCACTGTGTTTAATAGATTGAGTGTAGATACTGATTCAACACTGCCAGAACTTTCATCCTAATAAGAAAAACAGAAGCAAATCCTTAGAGAAACATTTGATAGTTATTAACATACAGCAATATTCATGCAGATTTTAGATAGTCCTTTAAATCTTATATGTAGATAATAGCACACCTTGCTTTTTCAAGCATGTCTGTGTCAATTCAGATGCAAGTTAAGCTTAGTCTGCATCCATACCGCACAAAACCAAATTATGTCAAAAAGAACCTAAATTCTAAAGCTAGTTAGAAAGCAAATTAAGCAAACAGGAAATGTAACAGTTGAGATTTGTTCTTGATATTTTAGATGTTCAGCAAGGTTCTATTCTAAAGAATTTGTGTTAGGAAAAATACGTGTTCAGAAAAGACATGTCATGAACTTTAATATGCAAGCTGGGGAAAACAGCATTCATATGTCTAGCTTCATGGACTTCACAATTTTTTTTAACTTTGTGCTCTGGAATCTGAAAAATGTCTATACCCATGTATTACCCTTAATTCATTCAGATTTTTGCCAGCACATAGCTTACTCAGCACATAGCTTTCTGCCAGCACAGCGCTTAACATTTCATCCCCAATCTTACCATTTACATTCTCTGATCAAATTCAGAAAGTCTGTAGCCAATTGTCAGGTTTGGTGATACTTCAAGTTCAGGAAGGCTGATTATTTATTAGGCAGAGCAGGGGCCTTGAAGCACTTCCTCTTCCCCTTCAGCATCCCCACCAGTATCCCAGGGACACTGTGCAGGCACTGAGAGAAGTGAGGACAACAACTATCAAAAGTGGGCACATTCAACAGCAGTTATCTTCTTTGTGAGCAAACCTGCTCTCCCAGAACTGGAAGCACAGGGTGAGACATCTGGAATGGGGAGACACAAGCCATCCCAGTTGAGGGGAGGGGAAAAAAAAGAGGAGTGCCTTCCCTCCACTGGCAAGCTGCTCACTAAACAGGGAGCAAGTGCTCCTCCATCTCACTGCTGTGTATAAAAAGGGAGCACCCCTGCTGCAGCCAAACTCACTCCTCCTCCCTCAACTGTAGCCAGGATCACAGAGCATCTGTGCCTACAGGTAGGGGAAAGGGGCACTTTTGACTGTTTCTCTACAGGAAGAGGCCCAGCCAAATACACTGCCTGCCTGACAAGCAAGCCTGCTTCCCCCACCCCACAACTCCCCCCAGCATTAGCAGGAATCAAGTAGAAACTGAAGACAGTCATGCAAAGTGCCACTTGGGCATTTTGCCCGTTTTCACTACAGAACCTCTCAGCCAGATCAGCAACCCCCTTTGCTGCTCTAGCCTCAGGGTTCCCTAGCCATTTAGCTTACCTGTAGATTATCATGTCATCCACATTTGGATGGCATACTAAGTCATCAGGAGTTTGCTAAACCACTTTATAAGCCTTAGTTATAGAGCACCCTCCAGGAAAAAGGATGGTTTCAGACAACATACTAAGCCACCCATTGTGCCAACTAAATTATCTTTGCCATTGCTTAACAGTGATAATCAAACTTGGACAGGGATAGGTTTAGTACTGTCATCCACACATTAGTAACTTCAGAACTGGAGAATTTGCTGCTCCGCATGTGGGATGCCCTTGAGGCTGATTCAAAAAATGCAACAAGGCTGTAGCAATGCTGTTGGATGGAGCGCCTTGCCATGCACAAATAAAACCTATGCTAAATAAGTTGCACTGACTGTCTGTCTCTTATCAAGTCAGGTTCAAGATATTACTGATAAATAAAACCCTAAACACTTTAGACAAGGCTACCTGGTCTAAAGATAACTTACCCTATATATTCCTATAGACCAGGGCAGGCCTTGCTCTCCCTACTACATTCAGCAGAGATCCATCTGGCAGCAACACAGCAATGAGCATTCTCTAAATATTGTGTGATTTTAAAAAGAGCCATTGTTCTATAATTTTCAGGGTTTTAAACAGAAACTAGTATATAAAAAGTATAAAATAATATTTAACAGTTCTTGGACAAACACCTGTATTTCATATGTCAAAGCTGCTACTTCAACACTCTAAGAATTATCTTATATAACTAAGAAAGAAGAAGGCACAAGATGTTCAAATTGGAAACACCACATATGTTCAAAAGAAGATCAATCCTGATGGGAAGAAAGCACAATCCTTTTGGGTTTTCAGAACTGAATCTGTTCTAATCAATAAACTATAGAACTTTCTGAATTTAAAGGGCTACTCTAAAATGTTTAAATTTGTGAAAACACCTTTGGGATTTCTCTTGTATTGTTTTCTGAAGTTCAATTTGAAGTTCTAGTTAATTATATTAGCAAGTTAATTATTTCTAATGAAATGTTTATTCTACACATATTTCAGATAGCTAGGAAAAAAGCATAAGATGCAACTAGAGAAAAATCAACAGGAAATAATTTCATGTTTAAATTCAAAATTAGCATAAAATTCATGTTTTTGGTTCAAGTGACTGGTATAAAAATGAAAATGCATCAGTATTTCTGCTACTTGGGTACAATAGCCTGAAGTAATTTGTATACATACAAAAGAGCCGTGTCAGAAATGCAGCAAACTGAGCAATGCAGGAAGTGGAACTGAAGAGGCTGTCCAGATTGACTAAAACCAACTTTCCAAATTGGCAGGTAGACAAGAGAAAACACAGAGGCAATACCAGTGAATAGACTGATATAAACCATGCCAACCTTACAGTGAGGTGACTGGTCATGTGTAAATAGACTGTGCTTTAAATCTAGGAAAAGCTCATCTACTACATACAGTACATTCCCTCAACAACAACCAGAACAATGGTTGGCAGATCACAGACACACACCAAGAAAAAGCCGAACAATTTCTGTCTTTTTTCTCTTTTGTCTTTGGAAGTCTACAAAGATATTCTCCTGGAAAATTTGTGGAATAGGTACTGTGCCAGGAATCTTTATAATCAAAGCCTACTTTTGAATATTATCTCAATATATTTTCCCACAACTTTGCAAGCTCCCTTCTGTGGGAATAGGATTTCTACAACATTTGTGCCAATGTGTTTCCAGGTAATAGACTCACTCATTTATGCATAAAGGGAGTTACAGAATACCAGCTCACAGGACCAATTTTAATATTCAAATCAATTTAACTGGATGTCAATTAGTGTAACCTTCAGTAAATCATTTTGGACACATCTTTTCTTCTATTTGATGTTTCCATGACTGTTTTTGAACTGGTTTCAAAATATTAAGAAAGTCTGAAAGTCTAAAGATTTCCAAAGAACCTCAACTTATGTATATACAGTGAGAGAAATTGCCAGTATATTACCTGAAGTAAAGAAGTTTTGAGGGGAAAATAAGCAAAGCTTAATTTTAAGAGGAAGCAGAATTGCTGATTTTAGGGACTGCAATACAAGTAAAAATGTTAATAGGAAGCACTGCAAAATCAACTCTTAGATCAGAATTTAAAAACATGAAGTTGTGTTAATCACATATTCAGTTTGTACGTGTAACCAAATACTTAAAAGGGACTGATCATTTTAAAGTAATAAGCAAAATACAATAAATTATTGTGAAATACATATTTCCTTAATGTCAAAGCCATACACTGGATCAATATCAAATTGTCCTTGTTTTTTTCCTTCCACTGATAACCATACCAGGAAATTGTATATATTTCACAGAGGATTCTTTCATTTTAATTTACTCCATCCTAAATATTTTACTTCTTTTTAGCTAACAGCTGAATAAAGCTTTAATCCCTTCCTTGGAAACTTTTGAAGACTAAGCAAGTCCAAGCTGAAGAAGTTGAACAAGAGTGCTCTCTCTGCTTCCATAAGGAAAAAGTTGAGTTTTCTGTCATCTCTTGGTGAACTGTTTGAAATACATGAAGGATAAAGTGTGTGACTTCTGGGCAGTGCAATCCTATGGCCATTAAACAACCATCAGATTTTTCATATTCCCAGCTATTACAGCAGAAAATCACTCTGACTTCATAGCTAGGTATCCACATTTGGATCTCTTCATCCCTTCTGTAGCTGGCACAGAGAGAACCATACCAGTTGCTAATCAGAAAAGTGACCTCAGAGATGGGTTTTCAGGAGAATTTGGGTGATGGCAGAATAAACTAGCACAGCCAAAATCTTAGTAATATGTCAGCTTCCCTCTTACTCCAAAGCATTGCATTTAGCTAAAGTCAGCTGTTCAAAATACCCAACAGATCAAAGGAGCATAGAGCAACCTTTACTTCACACTATAGGATTCCCAAAATTCTTCAAGCCTGGAGAGTTATGGGCATCTCCACAGCATTGCACCCTAAGTCACACATTCAGAAATTACAAGACTTGTGTCAAAAAGGGCAATCCATAAAAGACCAGTGTGAAAAATCAAGCTGCTATTATTACTGGGATGTTTATTAATATTAAATAAAATGTTGCTACTATTATTTTAAACACTGTATCAATGACAGTCACTATAAAAGCTTGCAGAGATTTAAAATCCCAATTACAAACAGATGAATCCACATGTTTTTCGAAAAAGGACTAAGATGCAATGAAAACTCCAATGGCAAAGGAAAGGGAAGGCATTTTTTTCAGACTCTCCTTGTTACAACCCTCAGAAATACCTCCTAGACATACCTTTTCAGAAGGCACAGCAGAAAATCAACCAAACTCACCTTCTTTCCTCCAGCAAGAAAGTGCCTTGGACACAGATAGTTTAGATCCCAAATCTAACACCTAACTATACTTGTTTTATAAGTGCATATTAGCAAACTAACTTCAATATATGGTATAAGAATTCAATGCACTTATGCTGATGTCATGAGAACCACTTTTTGTCCCAGTTTTTATCTTAGCATACCAGACTGTAAATAGGTTTATGTGGAGTTTGCTTGTTTCAAATGCAAGGTTATACTAATGACTGTAACAAACATATTAAGTTATAGAAAAATGAGAGCAGAGTATTAAAAATGAGGTTATGACATTAAAAGCAACTACAAGAAACTGGCTCAAGCAAAAATGGATCAAACTTTAAAATATAATTCAAGAAAAGTCTCAGCCTTATCACAGATGAACAGGAACTTTATCAATTGTTTTTAGTAACTTAGGTAGATGAAACAACTTGCATTTTTTGTTCTTACACATCCAACAGACAGACCAATTCAACAGTCAATTTTACTTGGGTATTTTATGGAAGAGAATATGATAAAGACTTCTCTAAATGTTTCAACTGATTTGCAGCCATAGAACTGAGTCAGTTCTAGGTATTCCAAAAAAATAAACCAAATGCATAAATTCCATTCTCTCTTCATTACTTAAGCAGCAGTTGCAAGCAAAGGTAAGAGTGCCCTTGCTAAAAGATAATAATGGATTACCTTTCCCTTCAGAAAGCACACGGAATCTACTGTTCAAAAGCCTAACAATGATTCTAGGTACACCTGATTTATCTCTATTATCAGATGCTATCCATTGCTCTATGTAATTAAGGGAGTAGTAGAAGTGTGAGTGCGACCTTTATCCAGGACGCATTCAGGACTGCAAGCGATCACATCAAAGCCTGAGACACTGTTGTACAATAACTATTGGGATCAAAGCCATTCAAAGGCTATTAGCAACAGAGCTTAAGTAGAAATAACAGTTTAGAGCAAGGGTTGAACTCCACATTTCAACCAATTTTTAGGTATATTGCAAAGTGTGCTAGTCAATAAGATACATCAACTATGAAAAGTTTCTCTCAACTAGTTTATAGATAGATATCCAACATTATACTCAGGTAGAGCTTTTTATCCTAATCTGGAATAACGCTGTCATTATTCAGCAATTTTTCAATAAGTTACAAGTATGCATTGCATCATGTGTTTTCGATACCTATAAAGGAAACAGTAGTTCACTGAACAGTACATTTAATTTGCATAGGGTCATTAACATAGGAACATTGTTGGCTTGTATCAGATCTACTTTAGCATGTATGATTTTATTTAGTAAACAAAACTTTTAAAAGTACCCCATGTTAATTCTTTGTTTCAATACAGTACACATAATAGATCTTAGCTATGAGGAAAAAATAAAGCACACTTATATGATTTAAATGCTCTGTTATGAGAATCTTGTATTGAAATAACTTTTTAAATGTAAAAAATATCATGTACTTCCCTTACATTGTTTACATTTAAAAGGAAAAAACAAAGATTCTGAAAACTGTTGACACACATTGTAACAACCCAAAGAAATGCCCATGATATGCTGACAACCTTCATCTATTCAACTCTCTTCCACTAAAACTGTTCAAGCACCTTCAGTTTTGCTGTCATTACTTATTACTTCCATTTCACTCTAAAACATACATTAATTAAATAAAATATTTGTATTCTGTCACATGCTTGCTAAGGAGAATCAACTGACAAATGAAACTACCTAGCTTGTCTAATATATAATTGCAATTGGCTTACGTTCATTTATACTAATAAATTTATGGAACAGAAATCTTTTGCAAAAAATTGTCCATTTTGGACAATTTTCTTCCCTACATCAAAGTTCAAAATGGAAGCATGGCCATTTAATAAACAGCAGAGGCAGAGTAATCAGTGTAAGTAACAATGTGATGGAAGAACCAGTGATGTACAAGTCATCTCAGTATTTAATAATTTTGTGAGATACAAGTTGACTCTTGTAGACCACCCATTTGGCCAATATGAGAAAGTCCATTGCTTACACTCGAGCTGCTGCTTCAGTCAGGCTGACAATTAAACTGCGGCAAAGTTTTATTCACATCATGAGAAGGTAAAACTCCCTGGAGAAGACAGGGAAAGTCAAATGCAGAAGAAGAAAAGGAAGTCCAAGTATAAGATGCACTGACTCCATAAAGAAAGCCAGAGCGTTGCATTTGCAAGAAATGACCAAGGCTGTCATGGATAGGCCATTTTGGAGAGCTTTCATTCACAGTGCTGCCGTATGACTTGAGGGCACATAACAACGTTTTCATTGTTTTTAGCCCACATTGTGCTGCTGTTGTTTTAATTATTTGGAGATAATTTTATTTTTTATTCTTTGTTAAACTGCCATTGGAATACATTGCCACTGAAGTGAGGGGAATATATTTCATACATAACTATACAATTTATATGACATCATTTTCAAATTATGAACTGGGTCCCAAACATATACAAAGGACACTTCCTATTCTTCTGGAAAGGATTTTTTTTCTGAAAGGTATCACAGAAATACTGGAATAAAGTCTCTGAAAGAAACACTACTGCTTGAGGAAGTACCAGCCTGTACATCTAGACATAGCAGGCCATTCCACGCTTATTTATCCACTCCAAACAGGGCACCTCATTCAGTCCCTCATTCACCCCACACTATTTCTTTCGAACACACTCATGCATACAGATGCAAATACACCTACCTTCCCCCTTCTCCTTTCTCCATACCCCACTTGTCCCTTCTCCATTTTTTGCTCTCTAACTCTGATCCCCTTCCTTGGCCCTCCCCTTCTCCTGGTATAAGCAATTTATTTTTTTTCCTAAGCCTATTACTACATGAGAGGCAACTGAGAGGTTCATCACATGCAGGACAGACAGGGTTAAACTTTCCATCTCCTCAAAATCCCCCCCCCCCCACCTGGTATTTTTCTTAAATAAGAAAGGTCTTTGGAGAAGGTTAATGGGGACTTTCCTAATCCTTGCCCTGGAGGAGTAAAAGTTATAGGATGAATATGACCCCTGTTTTACACACTTACAGCCCAATTCTATGCCTATTTATTCCGAAGTAATTCCCACTTTGCTCAAAGGGACCTGCTTATAAGTATATATTTATAAGTATGAGAGCCAGGGTGGTGCAGTGGTTAAGAGCATGGGACTGGGACTCAGAGGATCTGGGTTCTAGTCCCCGCTCAGCCATGGAGCCAACTGGGTGACTTTGGGCCAGTCACAGGCTCTCAGCCCAACCTACCTCACAGGGTTGTTGTTGTGGGGATAAGATGGAGGAGGAGATGTAAGCTGCCTCGAGCCCTTTGTAGGAAAAAGGCAGGATATAAACCAATAAATAAATAAATAAATATTTGCATTGGATCCCTAGGAATTGATCTTGTGCACTATCCAAGCACATGCACCGAAACTACAGGAATCTGCCTTGATGCTAAAGCAATAAAATTCTACAGTGCAAGAAGTACGAAGCTTCCTGATTCAAAACATTTCAATTATTGTTTTACACAGTATCAAAACTCTCTTTAGATACAAAATAATAGGTAGTGTCCAATACTGCCACTGAGCTCCTGCTAAATCATATGTGAACCACGGCTCACAGAAAAGAAAGCTGGCCATTTGAAATGCAATCCCAGAAATAGACAGAAGCACTTGGATCCAGTTCTAGGCAGGTCACTAGAGCTTTCTTCTGCAAGTTCCACTGGCCAATCCCAAATCAGTTTCCTTTTAGGGCTGCTAGCTCCCCAATGTACCAGTGGTGGGTCTTGCTGACCAGCATGAAGACTGCCCAGTATATTGTTAGTTCTAGAAACTAGTCAAAAAGCAGGATCTTTGAAAAAATACACATTTCAAAATGATTAACATAATTTAATGTTATAATTAACATAATTTTATTTTTTTTCTTGGTAATGTAAACTGCCTTGATCTGATATAATTTCACATCACCTCTCATATGATACTTGAGAAGCTGTACATGCCAACTCCACTGAAAAGCATTTAATGCACAAGAATAAATGTAGATAAATCCAATGATGTGCGAACTAGCCTATAAAATTGAAGCCATAATCTGGATTCTGCCACTTAATTCTACACCTCATCTTATGGGACTTAAATGTTTCCATCACTTCCACATCCTTCTTATTTTATTATGTTCATAGACTATAGAATTTTAGAGTACCAATTACGGTAAGGTAGTACTTCCCATGTATAACACAGTCAAAATTTGTTTTTCCAATAACTTGTTAAAGCAACTACATAGCCAAAATTATTACAAAGTAAAGTTTTCATCTATAGCTTTTTTGACTTGTTAACTGCCCTGGGATCATGTTGAGCTTGAAGAACAGGAGAAATCATCTATAAAAAAATCCTAAAACCAAGGTACTTTTCACCATGTCTATCTCAAAGAAACCTGTTCTATGAAATTTTTAAGGATAACATGAGAGCAACTGACTATCATACCATGTAAACCATGCTACATATACATACATATCTGTATATACCTGTTGAATTATTTTGGAATCTTTCTGTAGGTTTTCTTTTGGTGGGACCTTTCCAAATAACTTCCAGCCAGGAGCACTGTGGACAGTAGGTTTGAGTTCCTTTGTCCTTTTGGTAAAGAAATTCCTATAGGAAAAAGGGAAAAAAAAGATGAATTTGTCATACTAGAAAAACAGAGTGATCTCCCTAGATGTAAACAATTAACACAAGTCCATCCCTTGCTTCACACTATACATATGAACAGTGAAAGGAAGGAAATACTAGGAAGACACACACACCTCAAGTGTCAATTTGATTTAGTACACATAAATATTAAATACTTTTGAGCTTCATAAGTTTCAAGTATGCACACATTAAATCCATGCACTTTTCAGGGTCATAAAAGTTCCAGGGAGCAGTAACAATTTAATGTTTAGGAAATGTTACAATGGGATCAACTTGCATGGAACTGAGCTTTTGTAATCAATGTATGTGGTTAGGTACTTGCAGTAGATTACATGGCTTTTAAACAAGTATTTTTGCAAGCTCTGCAAAATGCCATTCCTCTGTGATGAGTAGCAACAGACATCCCCTGCAGAACAGCCAGGACAAAGTCCATCTACCTATACTCCTGGAACGCAGCAACAAGGTATTGAAAATTGGCTGTCAAATAGACATATAATAATGATCGTCATCATTTAACAGAAAGTCAGTCTGTTTGTGCATGTGCACGCAAAGTAGTGCAGTTCTGATTTGCATGAATAATGCAGCAGAAAAAGCTGCATATGTGCTTTTTGTACAGTAGCCATTTGAAAACAAAAAGCAACTCATGCAAACTTTACAAAGTTACCCTGTACTGAGAAGGCTATACATGCAGCACTCCTAATAGTGAAAGCTCTGTAACATTCACATAGGTGTCCACGCACACTCTGCCGCCACAGTACTGCAAGAAGTAGCAACAAAAAGGCTATTCGCAGCACTGGCAGAGTTAAGTGAAACAAGGGTAAAGCAAATGTTTCCCCAGACTAGATAGTTATTGGCATTGTTGACATGCAAGTTTCATTTTTAAATTTCCTTTTTTATTGAGTATACAGGAAGTTTCACCCTCTCTTTCCTTCTGATTGGCAGATATTGCACAATGCATAAAGAATGCCAGCACTCACAGCAGCAAGATGTCCACTTTGCCTCCAAAGTATCATCTTCTCTATAATGAATGTTATCGCACACATGCACAAGCTCCAGTTCAGTGGGCTAACAAAAAAACCCAAGGGAGAGAATCTAGCAAAGTAAAACTATGTGAAGGACCCCTTCCCCTACACTCCCCAAAAGCTCTAGATGGTGACAGGAAAAAATCTCAGTCATCCACATAGAATGTAAATGAAAAAAATAAAAACTGGTCAATTTCTGTGTAACCTAAAACTGGTCGTGAAATCCCTATTTTTTTGCTAGAGACTGGAACACTAATTATCATTTTTTTCCAAATATGGTTGCTATTTCATCAGCATTTTATATTTGCATTATATTTGGGATTTGATTCAGACATCCATGTCTTCAAACACAAAAGTTCCTTCTATTTATGGAAGAACTTTCAACTCTAGGGATGCTTCCACTACAGAAAAGTCAGTTTTGCTAGTTTTGCCCCCATAGTTCCAGGAGCAACTCTAACACTGTTCCAAAGCCACCACCCCAACCAAATTGGGCAAATTTGCAGGAGCTAAAGGAGGAAGGGGCAATCAGCAAAAATTGCTAATGGAATGCTTCCACTGGAGGAAAGAGGAAAAGCAGAGTCCTGCTCCCAGCAAGCCTGGATCCAACATTAGTGACCAGATCCAGAAAGCTTACACCCAAAAGCTTACACTGAGTAGGACTCCCTCACCACATTGTCATAGTAATAGTAATGAGACTGATGATAATGTCATAATGATTTATAGTAACTTAACTGGCATTAATACTAGGCATAAAAAGGTAAATGAAGGCAGTCTAATCTTTTTATCATTGTCCCTGCCAATCTGAATACACCAACACACTGCCAGAGGCTTTGAGGAACTTTCAGCACTACAGATCTCCTGTAAAAGAGTCAATTAATAGCTATTTTTTAAACTAAAGGCCATTTTCATAAGAGCCACTATTCCACGGGATGTCAACAAAGTATTTAAAATAATCCCCTTAATACATCAGCTGCAAATATGTTGTGAAGCTATGATTATGACACTCCTGCTTCCTGTTTGCCTTATTCATCACTTGCTTTGCAGCCTTTGTTTTAAAGCAAGAAGAGGGTAGGGATAAAGAAAAGATGAAAGATGCTATACATAACTGGACATTCTTCATTGTTCTAAGGCACAGCATTACTCCCAGCACTATCCAAGTTGTCAATCCAGACTTAAAAACATGGCGACATGAGGCTTGCTAATTCAACAGAGTCATCCCACATGCTCCAAAAGAGAGCTCCTAATACTCTCCACATAAATTGTTTCCCCAGTGTAAAGACAATGTTAGGCAACAAGTTAAATCTTTGACAGAATTTTGGGAAAGAAAAGACTGCAATCATTTGGTAGGAAGGGATGCAGAATCACAGGAAAGAGGCAAATTTCACAGACTGATTGAAAGTATCTGTCAAATTTGGTTGATACGCTCTAGCCCAATGTAACTGCTCACATGATTCATTCTCTAGTGACAATCAGCCTTGTATTTCTTGTGTTTTCCTCACAATAGGTAATAATTTAACAGGTATTCAGGCAATAATTTTAAACTGAACTCTGAATTCTGATTCCAAAGGTAACTATATAACTGATGCATGATTATTGTTCAGTCAGCTTTTAAACATTAGAATGAAACGGTTTTGAATATATTTTCATAAATCTAAAATAGTTCATGGTGCTTTTATTCTTGCTGTTAATAAAGGTTCTGCTTTATCACTTGCACGTTTAATCTTGCCTCATAAACTGCTACTCACTAGTGTGAGCAAGTAGCAACTGATCCCTGCATACAAACTAGTTTGAGCAATAGCAGCAGGACACATCAATTGATCTCTGTTCCAGATTAAAAGAAATTAGAGAATCTGAACCTGCATCAAACTTTGTGCTGCTCTGTTGTAGCTTTAAACTAGGAGGCCCCTGTGCCACTCTGGCAAAGTGGCTCCCAGCAGGTACCAATGAATGTAACCTGCCCAGTGACCTTTATGGACAGGTGTTATCAACTTCCCTGACAATGAGAACCAATCTCTCATGCTGGTGCAGAGACTGGGAAAGTGGCCTATACAAGTGCCAGCTCAGGGCCAAAGTACAGGGCTTGAGGGACTGGCACACAGCAGACACTGGTTCATCCCTTCCACTCCATCACCCACAGCCACAACCACTGAGCAACTATTGTGGCAAACCAGGAGGTCCTGTTCTCCTGAGCCTACCCAGGATAACTGAGCAGGGATTGTATATACATGACCCTCCTACAAGGAGGGGGCACAAGAATACTCCTCCTACCTCCTGCCTGATGAGCAGATCACCCTAAATAGGGATCAACACACCAAGCATAGACAATTGTGTTCTCCTGGGCCTATTCCCAGGTAAACCCAGGACAAGGCGCCGTACACACACACACACACGTGCGTGTGTACGTGCATACCCCACTCACTGCAGTTTAGAAGCAAGAGGAGGAGGAGGAATGAGCCAGTGTCTATTACACATGGTAACAGACACTGGTTATACACACCAGGTATGTGCCATATGCGAGTCATATGGTTTGAGGGGTTGGTGTACAGCAGCCATCAGTACTACTCCTCAACCCCAAAGCAGGGCTTAGGAGTGCTGTGCACAGTGAACACCAGCAGCACCAACATGTGTCACTTCTTCAGGTACTGAGCAGGGCCTGAAGGGACAGTGTGCATAAGCAGGAAAAAGCTAATGAAAATTATCTACAAGCTCCACTGGGCATTTTACTGGCAGCTCTTCTCAGCATTTACTGGGAATCATCTGGCCAGAGCAACAAAGGGATTGTGTCATTCTTGTCAAGTGCCTCATCTGGTGTGGGGTTTGCACTCCCCATTCAGCACTTCATGCAGGTTCACATGATATGAAAGCCAAAGAGAGGTAAGTAAACTCTCTACATCACAAAACAAAGTTTTCAGTACAGTGATATTGTCCTTGTTTTACCATGAAAAAATATACCCATTAATGCAGAAACAAAACCCATAAAACTGAACAAGACTAGTGAATACAACACCAATTACAAGTCTGATATAAACAACCTGGTCTTTACCATACATAGCTGCTTGCTGACTTGCTCTGAACACTTATCTACATCTTATTCGATAGAAAAAATACAGCCTTAACATGAAAAATGCTTTACTGCCTATCATTTGACAAGCAATAGGCCTCCAGTTCCATGGCATCAGGGATGATGATCTTTGAAAATCAGACACTAACCTGTAGAGCTTTGATTTTACAATGTACAAGTAACATTTAGGTTCTTTGAATCCCTACAATTATAATATTACAGAAACTGTCATTTGTTGAACAGTTTTACATTACACATACCTGATAATTATCAACAGAACTTCAGAACTTACTTGGGCCCTAGTCTACATGTGATATTTAAGAGACCTTTCTATTTATTTACTTACTTATTGCATTTGTATACCACCCCACAGCTTGGTAATACCCTGGCAGCTCTCCTCACAATTCTTCCTTTATCACCAAATTCTACTTTTGTACAAAAAAAGCTTTATAGCATTACTTGGGGTAATCTTAATTTAGACTTGGGGTACAGATGATAATCATCTGCCCACATTTGTATGCAGGAGTCCAGGCCCAATCACCACCAGCTTTGTATATCAATGCCAGCCAAATCCTTATCCACCAGCAACATGTCGTGCTCTCTAGAACATATAATGTGGACCTCAAGGTCAAAAATGTTGCTTCTGTGGTCCTACATCATCATCATCATCACCATCACTATTACTACTGCTGCTGCTGCTATTACTATTTTGATTTCACTGCATTTTGATGGTCTGCCTATGAGCAATATTTTCATCCTTGATGAACAAGACAGGTTATACAAGTGAGACCAAAGCACCAACTTGAAGCCATGTTGTACAATAAGACATTAACTACTACTAATTTGCTTTCTGTTTAATGACAACACTCACAACCATG